TGTGTGTGTGTGTGTGTGTGTGTGTGTGTGTGTGTGCACGCTGACCTATCTTTGACTTTGACAGTAGTGACAAATTCATGAAGTAAGAACATCTTCAAACTTCTGTTTGTGAGTTAAAACCAAGGTTAAGTTAAGTTTTTTCAGGTTTGAGTGAGAATGTGGGTCGGAGATGTCAGGCGATGAGGTCATGAAATGCTGGAATGCACTTTGTCAATGAGGATATAGAAATAGTATAGAAATATACATATAGAAATACGTGGATGTGTGTGTGTGTGTGTGTGTCCTGCAGGAATCAGTCTTCACCGTTCTGTCTCAAGTTTTCATGAGCAAATTACAAACAACTAGAAATATCAAGTCAGTTGATTATACATACAGACACACAAGAACACACACACATGTATATATATATATATATAAACTGGTATATATACTGGTATAAGGTAGAATGTCCTGATGCAGCACTCTGCCATTAGTTAGAAAGAGCAGGATGGACAGAATGATGGAAAGCAAAGAGAAGACCCCTGATTTATATCCAGAGCTTGTGGACACGTTGCTGCATGGTTGTTTATCGCTCTGTCCTCCTTGTTGCCTCTCTGCAGGTAGATCGACGTAGAATTAAAAGTCAAGCTTCAAACTTGAGAATTCATTGAGACTATTTACTCTTTCAACCGACACATCTTTTCTTTTTAGCAGCTCAGGAAACATTTGCAGACGCTTTAGATCCAAAATTAACAGCGAGACAGAGAGTCAGAGAAAAGAGAGGAAAGTTATTATGGCTACGTCTTTAAAAAAAAAGAAAGAAAAGTAGACAGCGCAGGTTTGAATCCAGACTGGACCGTCTCGTACATGTTCAGCTTCGACAGGCAGTTCAATAACAGTCTGTGTCATGTTTTCCAAAACTGTGGGGATTGTTAGAAGCAGCGATGTGAAACCACAACGTTTCAGACAAGATCTAAAATCCTGACAGGACAAAATAAAACTCTCTCCTCTGACTGAACAGCAAATGATGGAGGGATATAAGAGAGACAGACCCACAGATGTTCATACATTTAAATATATGTTGCACTGAATAATAAATTAGATGATGCTGAACCTCTCAAATCGAGTACCCAAACGTTTTTAATCCAGTAGCTGCAGACTCTGTTAAACTGTGAATTCACTTTCCTCCGGCATATTTCATCACGGTGCAGCTGCGTTGGCAAACACGGACCCGCTGTGTCCAGTTTACCGACGCAAACCTGCAGCACTCCTGGATATTTAGGTTCAGATTGAAGTGAGGAGCTCCTGCCGCGGCGTGGCCCTGCCAGTGTGCCGGGTCTAATGTAGTGTAGCTTCAACGCCGCAGGCATCCAGCTGAGAGATCTACAGACAGCAAACACGCACATCTCCAAACTGTGAGGAGAGCGGGGCAAGGAAAGAGAGCAGAATATGAAAAGTAAAGAACTGACTCTTGACCTTAACGAACCAAAGTCAAGGAGTTCTTAGTTTAGAGAGTTTGGCTGTTTCTTCTTCCCGAACGCTCCGTCCAGGCGGCGGCGGTGGCGGCGGCTCTGCAGGGACAATAGACTTCCTGAAAGTTGGATTAGTGAGCTCAAAGGCCGGAGACCGATCAGGCTCGTAATGACCCTCTGATGGATGTACTTTCTTTCTCTCAGCCGAGCCCGAGCCGCGACCGGAGCCGGAGCTCGGCTGAATTAAAAGCCGGACCTTTGACTTTCAATTACTGACTCCAGGAGGAAACTCTGAAGCCTCCTCGTCTGTGTTCTTCAGCAGAATTATAAATCTTTTCTGATCTTCTTCTGCTGATTCCTCGTCTTCATCGTTGCTGGATTATAATTGTTCATCTCAGCCTTTTCTTTAAAATCATAGCTTGCTCTGATTTGTTGTTTCAAAGCCGACGCCTCCTCGCCCGACCGCCGCCATGTTTGTTCGATGCAGGTTTTATTGAGATTAAATTAAAATACGTTGCAGGTAAATATTCAGTCTCCTTCCTGTAACTTTGACAAATCCATCAGCTCGTCCTGCTCCCTCCATCTCCGTGCAGGGGGAGCAGGGAGATATGAGAGACTAAATTCTCATTGCCACACTTGCGGCGTCACTTTCCCGGTCGCCAGCTCGCCGATGTTTTATGGACGACACAGACTCCATCTTGGCGAAGTCATTTATCTCTGTTTTCGTGGGCGGCAGCCAAACTCTGTCTCCATCCAGCATCTAGTCCCCGAGCCTGCTGACTCAAAGCTCTGTGAACTTCTATAATTACACACTTTTCATGTATTTGCTCTCAGAATTACTGCGACGCAGAATAATGACTATTTCTGGATCATAGGGTGATGACTCCAGTTTGAGTTTGTTTTATTCCCCTCGTGTTTCTCTCCGCCAACGTTTCTCTTCCTCTCTGTAACTGTAAAAACAAACTGAATCCCGTTTTATCTAAAATAACATCAAGAGGATTATTTTCCCCACAGGTCAAGAGCAAAGATATTCTGCAGCCGCGCTTCATTTTCTGTGAACCTGTTTGAAGGAGATCAGCCTGTGTGTCTAATGTGGGAACACAAATCTCATTAGATCTGCGTTTATATCCAAGTTAAAAAAAAAAAAAAAAAGTTCTTAAATGTGTGTGCGGCTGCAGGATAATGAACGAGGGGAAGTTAGAAGTCGTCAGAAATCAGGAGTATTTGCAAACTTGTGTGAAAAGATCAGTCGTCCCTCTTTTATTTTGAAGAGAGTGCGGAGTGTCCTTCAGCGACCTTGTTGTTCATCTTTTGTATCATCTGCCCGATGATGTGGTCGTCTGGTTTAAAAGCGCGACACGCTGACTTGTGTGTTTTCTCCTCCTCGACAATCTGCGTCATGTGCACAAACTCTGACCCACACACCAGAGCTCGCACGGTCGTGTAATGTGTGTATGTTGCTGTACAGACGTGTATGTCTGACTCTGCGGACGTGAAGTGACCGTCGACTGTGTGTCTCAGGTCACCGAGTTAGAAAACGATTCAATTCGATTTTAAAATAATGTATTCGTCCCATTAAAGGGCAGTTTGAGGAGAGAGCAAACAGAAGTGCTCAGATAATTCAACCCACACACGTTAAAAAATACATAACTTAATACTGACGAATCTACAAACACGCCAAGAAACAACACAAAATACAAATGTGTCGGGTTAGATTCTCTTAGTCGAGTTTTCTCTTTCTCTAAAATGACTCCGTCTCACAGCTTCACCATCGCTGCACCCTGAGTTCAGAGCAGCTTTGTTTTGTGGATGCTGAAGAAGTGCTCACTGGTTGTTTAGTCAGCGAGGTGACCCCGTCAGTAACCGGTCTCCCTGACAGCCAGCCTCTGCCCTGCTGACATGTCCTCGAGCTGATGATTCCACTGACTCATCCAGCGGCTCTGTGGGTTGTCTCTCTCCGCGGCTCCTCCTGCCCTATCGCTCGTCGTGACGGAGCGAGGGGGGGCGAGCGGAGCGGCGAGCCGGTCCTCTGTGGATCAATGCAGCGTCTCAAAAATAAGTCTGATTCCAGAGTGGAACTCAGACAGAGAAACTTGAGATTGATGGTGTTGCGATGCATGACGTCTGATCGGTTGAGCATCGCCGCTGTGTGATGGAGCTTCGGGGGCTTCGGGCTCCTGGGACTCACGAACCTGAGGGTACAGCAGATGTGACAGCTCCTCTGACGTCAGGCTGCAGAACAATCAGACCCGGCTTCTGTCGGTGACAGCTCACATGGGATTCCTCTGTTCGAGTCCCACATTTGATTCTTTCCTCATGTTTTCAAGCTTCGATTCGGTTTTTCAATATTTGATTTGATCCAAATATCTGGAATCTGCATAGGTTCTCTTGGATTCAGGGTTTCAGAGGTCAAAGGTCACAAAACAAGTTTTTACTCTTTTGAATGAAACATCTCAGGAACACTGAGAGCTAATTTATTCACATTTGGTAGAAGTGTTGAGTTGAACTCACAGATCGACTGGTTAGATTTCGTTGGTCACTGTGAGCTCGTGTTATTGTGAAATATCAGGAACGTCCCACAGGAAATGTTTTCATTCGCGTTCTGACAGATTTAATGGAGATTATTATTTTAAGAACGCCGCCTAAAGAGATTTATTTCAAATGTCGACCTGTTGACTGACAGATCTTCAGATCAGTTAATCCACAAAACAACAGATTCCTCACTGCAGTTTTCTTGCTGACAGATTTTATACACTATTCGAGAAGAGTATTTTTAAAACACATCTTTGTGTTTGTTTGTTTGTGTGTGTGTGTGTGTGTTTTCAGGCTGCTGACTCACCACTTGTGCAGTCTGTGCCGATGACCTGGGTGAAAGAAGGAGGAATGGTGCGACTGGATAAAAAATACCTGCAGGCGAATTTCAAGGAAGTCGGCACCGATGAAATCGTCTACACCATCCTCGCCTCAGACGGACGACCTCAACACGGTACGAGCTGTTTGACGCTCACACACAGAGACCTGGAATAACATCTCACATTCCACGATTGATCTGCTTCAAAATACTAGCAGGTGCTGTGGGTGTCCCACCTCAGCCGAGCAGGTTTTGTTTTCGTCTGTGTTTGTTCGTCCTGGTTTTCGATATTATTAAACAAAAACTGCCGGGCGGATTGCGATGAAGCCTTTATTAAAAAAAGAAAATGTAATGTTTGCTCGCCGGCTGTGTCCAGGTGAGGTGGTGCTGGTGTCCATGCCAGCCGACGGCCCTCCAGAGGGCTGGCGTCCCTCGCTCGCCGACGACCGAGGCTTCACCTCCACCACCTCCTTCACTCAGCAGGACGTGAACGACGGCACGGTCTGGTACCACCACTTTGGCAGAGGCACCGACAGCGACTCCTTCCAGTTCCAGGTCAGCGCGGGTTTTCTCCTCTCCTGATGACATGTACAGCATCATGCTTATTCACGTGACGAGGTTGTTTCTCACTAACGAGTGTGTAGTTCTACATCTGTACAAATGAATGATTCAAAGCAAACTGATAAAAGAAAAGAAGAGTCAGGATGATGAGAAGAAGACCCCTCAGGGCTGCAGAGAAGAAGACGCTGACAGAGACGCATGTTGTCGCTCTTGTTGTTTTTTTTCTCTTGTGTCCTTGATCGTTCTTTGAAGTTCACACTCGTTCTCCTCCTCCTCCTCCTTCTTCCCTTCCAACATCCCTTCATCTGACTTTATTTATTTCGCCCTCCCATCTTGATCTCCATCTGCTGTTTCTTCTGTTGTCTTTCTCATAACCGGGAAGTCACATACAGTTACACATCTGATGTACAACTGACTATAAAAGTTTATCTATCTATCTCCATCTATCTATCTATCTATCTATCTATCTATCTATCTATCTATCTATCTATCTATCTATCTGTCTATGTATCTATCTATCTATCTATCCATCTGTCTATCTATCTATCTATCTATCTATCTATCTATCTATCTATCTATCTATCCATCTATCTATCTATCCATCTGTCTATCTATCTATCTATCTATCTATCTATCTATCTATCTATCTATCTCTCC